ATTGTCTGTAGACTAGAAATTTTAGTGTTTAAAACAATAAAGACTAAATGACTCAATCCTGGGCTGGCCCCGTGGCTTGGTGGTTAAGTGCACGCGCTCCGATGCTGGTGGCCCGGGTTCGGATCCCGGGCGCGCACCGAGGCAACACTTCTCCGTCCATCCTGAGGCCGAGTCCCACATACAGCAACTAGAAGGATGTGCAGCTATGACATACAACTATCTACTGGGGCTTTGGGGGGAAAAAATAAATAAATAAAATCTTTAAATGACTCAATCCTGTCTTTTCATAAAGCAGAAAATAATAGCACAAAATTCCTAAGGGACAAACTGGAGAGAGGGAAAGGGCAGTTGTTCTTACACTTTACCATTTTATCAAAAATACAAATACACATTTAAAGTTTTCTTTTAAAAGTACAGGCACATCATATGACCATTTATCACCATTCCAGTTCTTCACTTCCTATGAGCTAGTTATTCATGTCCAGTTTCTAAAACAAAATCACCTATTTAAAAAATGTGGCCATGCCTCAAATTTTGGTTTCTTGACTAATTTGATTTGGTTTTTACTTGCCTTATAATACTTATTCTATAAAAAGAAAGAGACTTTGATTAGACTTATAAAGTAGTACCTTATATATTGCCTATGAACTCAAGTTAAAACATATTGGGATCAATTTCCATTGTATTTCTGATATTGAGAGCTGCCTTCCAAGATTAATAATCAAAAGGATTTAATTAAGAGCTGTTAAATAAACTAGCAGCTGCTAAAGAATGATTACTTATACTTGAAATGAAACATTGTATATGTGAATTCACAAATGTCCAATTAAAACATATACATGCTAACTTAATTTTTAAATCTACTTAAGAAGACACTCTTTATTAAGCATCTACCATATGTGAAGCAATTTATTAACTCTAAGACCTATTTTACAGTTGAGAGAACTCAGAGAGATTAACTTGTCCATGATCCCGTAATTAGTAAATGACTTGGCTGGCATCCAATTACCAATTTCTTTTTACAACTGACGTCAGAAGAGGTATCTGTATCTATTTCAGCAAATGCACGTTGATAAATAAAAGTTAATTAAAATCTTATCGACAAATTTAAGAGCACAGTAAAATGAAAACTCAAGCTTCTAACACTCCACTAAGCATGAATGAAATACTCTGGAGGATGTATTTCTACCTTAAATTGGCAATATCATATATTCTTTAAATGACAATTCCTGGATGACCAAGTTTTTATCCACATGAATTCAGCCTTAACCTGCCCTCCTACATTCAGCTCCTCGAGTCTTGGTTCTACTATCAACAAATCCCTTGAACGTGTTCACCTCCTGCCATCTCCACTGCTCCATTCCTTGTCCAAGCTCTCATCATCTCTTGCTTGGACTTCTGTGGAGCATCCTAATGAGTTTCCCTACTTCTACTTTTATACCTTTTTTTCAACAGAGCAAAGAGATCTCTTTAAAAAGGAAAATCTGATCATATCACTCTCCCGCTCAAAACCTTTGAGTAGCTTCCCCCTGCACTGAAAATAAAATCTAAACTTCTCTCCATGGACTACATACTCGTACAGGGTACAGCTGCTCCTTACCTCTCCAATCTCATCTCTAGCCTTTCTCTCCTCCCACACTGGCCCTCTTTCAGTTCCCAGGACCCAGCAAGCCCTTTGGGCCTTAGCATACATTGATCTCGCTGCCCAAATGGCCTCAGGCTTTTCATCCTTCCCTGAGCAGCTTAAACATCACCACTTTAGAGGCCTTTTCGGACCACATCATCTAAATTAGGTTTTTCCTGTTATATTCTATCATAGGAAAGTTTGTTTTCCTCAAGGCACTTATCACAATCTACAATTTTGTTGGTTTTATTTGTTTCCTTATTATCAGTTGTTACCACTAAATTACAAACTCCACAAGGTCAGCTACCATGTCTGCCCTACTCAGTTATATTCCCTGCATACTGCTTAGCACATAGTAGGCTTCCAATAAGCATTTATCAAATGAATGAATGAAACCCTGTTCCTTTACTCACCAAATGTATTATTGAAGAGAGGCTGCTAAGACAAAACATAGCCTGAAAGTGGATACTGATCCTTTATATAACTTCTGATTTTGCATGTTAAACAGGAATGAAACCTGCTTTTGTGTGTGCTATGGAGAAGAATATAAACTACTAATTTAGGTATCTAAATATACTCTTTTACACAATATAGAATAACACTAAGGGAATTCATGGCAGGATGCTAATGAAGAATATAGCAACATTTTCAGCCAATAACTCAAAATATTTTAGCTGCAACTGTATCTGCTCTCCACTACACAGAGTGCAAGACAATCACAGGGACATTTCTACCAGGCAGCGTATTAAACAGATATTCTTACAGCATTTCGTTTTCTAAGCACGGCCAGAATATAACGATACGTTAGGGGTTTTCTGTGATTAACTTAAAGTCATTCATTTAACACACACTCAAGGAGTGACTAACATACCCAAGGCATGGTGTTAGGCATGAAGAGGTAACGGTACAACATGGTTAAGGCACTGTCCTTGACCTCAAGAAAAATACATACTTGAAGGGCAAATAAGACAAGAATGTTAACTGCTACACTCCAAAGTAGAGAGTGATAAGTGCCAGAAAACAGAGGCAAATAAAATGCTAGAGAGATACAGAGGAGAGACAAAATTCAACTGGAAGACTAAGGACAAGTTAGACAAAAGTGGGACATAAGGCACTGGTGAGAGCTGACCCCGGGAAGAACGGCACTGCAGGTGGAGAAGCGCTGAGGGTAGGTTTAGAGACCAGCGAGTAATCAAGTGTGCCTGAAAGGTGAAGTGAGGAAGGGGTGGGAGGCAGAGCTGGACAGGTAAGCTGGAGGTCAGCTTGAGGAGAGGCTTGAGCTTTACTCGGTGGCAGTGAATGGAAAGCCAGGGAAGGCCTGTGACTTAGCAGGAGTGGTAGGGGAAGTAAGGCTGTGTTTTCTGAAGACAGCAGCAGACAGTTTGGAAAAGTATAAGAACAGAAGAAATGAGACTCGTCGGGAGACTATTTCAATAGTTTAGGACAAAGGTAATAAGGGCACAAATTAGGATAGTGGCAGAGGAAATCATGAAAGGTTAATGAATGGGAAAATGGAAAATATTTCAGTATTTGACAATTGATAAATTTTTCCCTCTTCTTCATCCCCCACATCTCAAGATGGTACTGAAAAAGGGGGTGCTATAAAACAAAATGGGGAGATATGCAGTTTGACTTTTGGACACCTAAGCTGAGAAGCCAGCAACTCTGGGTCTAGCAGGCAGTTGGAAAGAGAAGATAAGAACTCAGGTGGGAAGATAAGATTGAAGAGAGAAGTTTGGGGAAATAAAGTAAAAGGATTCTCAGAAAGCTGGGTAGAATAGATTTCCTACATTCTTCTTAAGTATAAGTAAATTTGAAACTGATATGTCAACTCCAATTGGAACAGACACAGGAACAACAATAAAACTTGAATTATTATTATTATAAATGCTCATTTAAATTTTATGGCAATTGCCATCACGTAAACATAAACATGTAATAAACTCACCTTCTTTCTGATTTTAAGAGATTTTGTGAAAACAAAGGTGGCCTTACCTTCTCATAATGAGTTTCCATGCATAAGAAGATGGTGTACGCTGTTAAACAAGCCAAACAGCCTTCAAGATAGGATTGGCCCCCAAGCTTCTCTGCTTCTGCATAAAGGTTATTTAGAGTTCGAACCGTCTCTTCAAACTGCTGCCTATCAATCTGTATGGAAAAAAGAATTTAAAAATAAGTTTTGGAAAAAAAGATCAGCAACTCACTAATGCTTGCTATCACTAATTTATTTTGCTGTTTTGTCAACATTCTTATCTAATAGTCAACAAACAATTTTTAGGTGATTAAATCTGGACCTAAGTTATTGAAACTCCTTAGTGTTTAATTTTATCCCTCTTATGGATACTGGATATCTTCATGGCTCAATATGGTGCTTCTTTGTTCTTTATACTGAATTTCAAGTAACAATTAAATTATACAATCCTTCCATCTTTCCATTCACTTACATTCACATTTACTGAGCACCTACCATCAGATATTATGACAGGCCTTAGAGAAAGATGAACAGACCTCAAGGAGTTTACAGTCATGCAAGCAGAACAGATATGTAAACATAAAAATACAATAAATTGACAGAGTACTGCAACAGAGGCATATATAAAGTACAGTGGGGACACAGGAGGCAGACATTTCCTTTATCTGGAAAGAGTAGGTAATGTTAAATTGAGTCCCTAAACACTGGAATTTACTAGGCGAAAAAAGGGAAGTAAGGACATTTTAAGCAGAAGGATCAAAAGGTACAAGTTCTGTATTGTTTACTCAATCTCCCATCTCTTTTAAAGCAACTATTTGGTTAGGAAAAGCTCACAACGAACAAGGCAAAATCTCAAACTACCACACAACTCTTCACACCAAGTCATTCCTACGACCTCTTTTGATTCAGTGACACCATTATCTTACATTTACACTAATACTGTCATCCACTCTAATCATCTGCTTTTACTTTTTTCTTCCAATATCACTTTACTTTCTTCTAACAGTACTTTGTAGATTTCAAATCTCAATACTTTACCCTAGGACTTTCAAGGCCCATTAGTAGAGAATTTCATCCAATACTGGAATTCTTTTTTTTTTTTTTTTCTGAGAGGAAGATCAGCCCTGAGCTAACATCCATGCCAATCCTCCTCTTTTTGCTGAGGAAGACCCGCCCTGAGCTAACATCTATTGTCATTCCTCCTCCTTTTTTTCCCTTTTTCTCCCCAAAGACCCAGTAGATAGTCATATCATAGTTGCACATCCTTCTAGTTCCTGTATGTGGGATGCTGCCTCAGCATAGCCGGACAAGCGGGGCGTAGGTGTATGCCCGGGATCCGAACCTGGGCCGCCAGTAGCGGAGGGCGCGCACCTAATCACTAAGCCATGGGGCCGGCCCCCCAATACTGTCATTCTTGGTAACAAAGCGCAATTTATCTGTCCTTACTCCAAGCTTTCTCTCACATAATATCTCCCTTATTCCTAAACCTAGTAACTACTTACATATGAATGCTCTCTTCTATTTAGTCTTTATTAGAAATAGACTCAGAAACAAAATCAAAGAACCTCAACATACAGTTTGAGACAAAATATTCCCAAGAACATAATTTCTTACAGTATAAAACAATTTATGATCATCACCCTTAAGCTATTAAAATCCTTTAGGTTAGGGGCCGGCCCGTGGTGCAAGTGGTTAAGTGCGTGTGCTCTGCTGTGGCGGCCCAGGGTTCGCCAGTTCGGATCCCAGGCGTGCACTGATGCACCGCTTGGCAAGCCATGCTGTGGCGTCATCCCATATAAAGTGGAGGAAGATGAGGCAAGGATGTTAGCCCAGGGCCAGTCTTCCTCAGCAAAAAAAGAAGAGGACTGGCAGATGTTAGTACAGGGCTGATCTTCCTCACACACACACAAAAAAAATCCTTTAGGTTAGAGGCAGTTGTAATCATTGTTTTGTCCTTCGTGTAGAAAACTGTGAGGACTCAATGAGCCAATGTTATGAGAACATTTAATGTAAGTGGTGGTGGCTCTATCTGTTTTTAAAAAGGGGCTACCTTCAATTTCCCGGAATATGAGAGTTTCTGACAAGAGTCGGGTGGGTGGAGATGGTGCTGAGAGCTGGGCTGCGTTCCTTCGCTGAGCCACCACTTGAAGATGTGGTGTCAAGAACAGTCACCTGGGGAACCTATCTCAGAGTTCTCATTCCCCGAAAACAGACTTAGGAGAATAGCTCAGTGAACAAATATCAATGGTAAATTGTTATCGTCACCTAGCTATGCCTAAGTTAATGCCTTCAGTTTGTCCATCAGTAAATCTACAAAAGTCTAAATTATTTCAAACACACACATTTCATTTACCTACAATGTAATAATTTGACAAAGGTCTTTGAATTATTTACATTTCTTTGACACAATATGATTCAAAACCATAGAATCAAACTCAGAAACATTTTATTTCTTTCAGATCAGAATTACTGATCATACCAGAAACTCTAATTCTTAAAAGTTATCCTAAGATTGCAATGCTTTACAGGACGGAGACAAATCACAGCTCATGAAAAAAAACCAAAAAACCCCCCAAAACCAAGGTGAAGGATTTTTTAAAATAGGTTAATAAAAAGGAAAAAAGGAATAAAAGGTAAAATAAAATCAAGAATCTCTTTGAAAGGTTATTAAAAAGGGTAAAAAGCATGGTAGGCAGCAGTAAAGGCAGAGGATACACTTAACACGCAGGGCCCAACAGAACCAGAATGGGTGTCTCTCTCACTCCCTTCAGGCGCCACACAGAACAGCTGTTGGTGTTTTCCCCAGGGACTTGTACATACAGGAGCTGTAGGAAAATCTGGAGATACGTGAAGTTGGAGCCAAATACCAGTTTGGACCAATAAACATGTGAAGTCAGAATGGAAATAGGAATCAAGCTTGTTTTCCCAGAATTTTTGTTTCTTGTTGAACTATGTGGTAGAAAGTGTGAGGCTGAAGCTTAAAGTGATCACAAGTCAAAGGAAATTTCTACTGACCAGATGTAGAGATATATTTTTAAAGGTATGTAGGGGAACAAATGCTTCAATTGTAGTTCACTCTTTTCTATTCTACTCAGACCAAGGGTGCCTAAGATGTCTGTATTTTGGCTGATGTGAGAATAAAGCTTCTTTTAAAGAACTGCCCTAGCAACAAAGCTCTTAGGCATCAAAGTATTGCATTCTAACAGGCACTGGAGAAAGCAAACTTGTTAACAGACAGAACTTGTCCTCACTCCCAAATTAAAGGGTGCAAATGTGTGTGTGTTTAATGCTTTAAGTAATACAAAATATCTGTATATTAGTTTCTTCCTCTATTAAGTTGCCAAGTGCGATGTTCTCTCAAAAGGAAAATCAGCCCCAGTGGCAGAGCAATCAGTACAATTTCTAGAGTAACTAGCAGAGAAACAAAGAAAGAAACCTTTCAATTTTCCATCAAACAAAAGCAAGGAAAATTTAAACCTGTAATTTAAATTTAATCTCAACACAGAAAAAAACAAAGCTTTCCCAAGCAGTTTAATGTACAAACTAGTACAAACTACAAACCCAAACATTTACAAAGAAAAAAAATTTCAAAGGCACAACTGAATAGCACCATATAACATTCCATGTAGTACCCAGAATCACAAGCAGTTCTGGGCTCTATTAAGTCAAAGAAGTAAAAGTACTCCAGAACTTAGAAACATCAATTTTCTGTAAGAACCAGCGAGTACTGTGACTAGACTGTATTTCTGTATTCCAACTATAAAATAAAGGCTCTACCACACACAGAGTGGAAGGTTAGTGTCTGATTCTGCATACATATATTTGGCTCGCGTATGAGTCACAAATTTAACTTTAAAATCTTTAAACAAAGGAATCTTGTTACATCCAAATAAGTGTGGTGAAAAAGAATAGTTTACATTCTGATTTGAAAGTACACAAATAGTCTAAGTCAGAGTTTCTATAAAATGCTTAAAAATAAAACATTTGATACATTTCATATAAGTTCTAACATGTAAAACAGGCTAACTGTGATGTTAAATTATTTTAAAAACAACATTCAGTAGCTTTAGCCAATAGGCAACTTGCTCAATTTCTATCTCTTCAAACCACTGTGGAAATGCCCACCTAGTGTCAGGCTGAGTTAACCGGCAACATCATGAAACAAACTGCAGCATTCATATGGCATTTCACAAACCAGCTAATCTACAAACCATCTTGATAAGACATGTTTGATCTTTAATTTGCATTTAAAGAAACATACTTGGGCCAATAACCCGCGCACAGTTATAAATCAAGCTGAAGGATACTATAATTGATCCTTGATTTTCCAACCTTGGCAATCAGATAGAACAACCTACCTTGATAAAAGCTAATTTTCAATACTGCTACACATTTCTCCAGTACAGACTCATCTACACCCACTTATTCCATGACCAGCATTTCTTAGCCCCACACACAGTAACATGCCTAATCACCTCTCAGTCCCTCACCCTCCTTGTCAAAAGGAAAGAGCCACAAAACCTGCTCGCATCTAACCAGAAACGGACTTCTGACCAGGAAACAGAATGTAAGGTAACATGGCTCAACACTGAGTCTCTCTTTGGGTGGGTGAACACACACGGACACAAGAAAACACACACACTCACATACGCTCACTTCACTGTACCTTTAATATAGGATACTTTTTTTTGCTAAGTCTGAAGAAAGGGTAAACACATCCCATTCTTCCATTTCTGTATGCAAAGTGGCCCAAGGGACCTATATCCTGATGACCATTTTGACATACAAGCCAACACAACACAGGCGATTCCCAGTGATCATAACTGGGAGCGACAAGTTTAAGGCCTTGTTCTGTGATATTTCCCTGTCCAATCCCATCTAATGCTTTACGGTTTTCAGGTTCCAAGAAGACCTGTCTGCACTGCCTGGCACAGCACTCAATAAACCCTTTCTACGGAGCAGCGCGACCAGCACAGTGGCCACAAACGCCAGTCACGAAAACGATGATGAATTCTCTTGCGCGACGAGTTAGGTGGATAGCTTACAACATGCTAAGTTAGGTGGCCAGGAGCCTCAGGAATTAGTTCCCCATATTGTCGTCAATAACCCGGGGGTGGGGGTGGGGGACAGCAGGGTACGGATTCCCGGCACTGGGCATGATAGAGTTCTATGAGGTCATCACACCCGGGGGCTTGGCCTTATTCTTCCTTCCTCCAAACACCAGGTCTTGCTCAGTGGCCCTCTTCGTACACCTATGGCCAAGGTCCTCTCTTTGCCTGCCCCTGCCAGAGCCGCGAGACACTCAGCGGGCCAGGTGTCAGCCCATACCCCCTCCCGTCCCTGGGGAGCCTCGCTCCCTCGCCCCAGAGCAGGTGCGGGGAGCCAGGCTGCGTACCCGGTTCTCCAGCTCCGCGGGAAACTTGGTCTGGAACTGGCAGCGTGTACCACTGCTGTAGTCTCGCTGAATAAATACCTTCCCAGACACCGGCGCCTGCTGCGGCCTCATGGCGAGGACAGGACGGGCCGTGCTGTGGGGTCGGGGGACACGAACCACGGGTCAGAGCCCGGGCCTGGACCCAGGAATCCAGCCCGCCAGCCCCTCACACCCACCCACCGCCCAAGGCAGCTCAGGTCCTCCCCCGCCTCACTCCCCTTCACCCATGCTGTCACCCCGGGCCTTTAGCTCCAGCCCCGGCCCAGGGCCCGCGCCCCCCACAGCCAGGTTCGGCCCAAGAAACACAAACCCGCCTCCTCTGCCCTCCAGCAGCTGTCGCACCGCCTCCGCCGTCACTTACGTCCCTGCCGCAAAAGGCCTCTTTCCCCGCCCCTCAGCTCGGCCTCCTACCCTAAGTCTAGGACCCACCCTCTCCTCCGGCCGTAAAGCGACTCTACTGAGGCTGCGCGCTGCGGTGCGCCGTGGGCGGGGCCCGGGCCGCCTCCGCTCCCGCCCCGCGCGGAGGAGTCCATCCGGAAGAAAAAGACCGGGCGGGGCTGGGGGGCGGGGCTGGGGGGCGGGGCTGGGGGCGGGGCGGGGCGGCGCGGGGGAGGCCTGTGGAGACGCGAGCCCGCCGGAGGTTGGGCGGTTTGACACTCGGGATTTCCGCGTCGTGTCATTTCCGTGTTGGTCGTGGCGAGGTAGTTTCGGATCTCTGATTGTAAGGGGTTATTTTCACTCTTGATTGCATGTCGCAGCTTACACGTGGGACACCATCCAACTCAATTTATACAAAAACTGCTCACTCAAATTTAGAAATAGAAAGCAGGCTACTGGGGATCCGTTTGGCAACAGCGAGGGAGGAAGGGAGAACGAAGAACCTGCCTGGGCTCATTGTCAAGCATCCCTCCTCCAGCTCTTCTCTGAGGTGTTGGCTTTCCTCCTACCCCAGAGATTGTCATCCAACACCCCGGCCTACACCTCTCTGGTGACCTGACAGGACACGCAGCTCTGCTCTTCTCCAAGGTCACTGGCACGGTCACTTAACTCAGCATACTTTTGCAAGGCAGCCAAGGAAACCTCACCTCACCCCTATCTGGTGGAGCCTGGCTAATATAACTTGTTAGCACCACTGGCTGATCCTGCCTTTTGTATATTTTTAAAATGTTCTATTATTGTATTTTAAAAACTGCTTTATGGAGGTATAAATAGCATACAATAAACTGAACATATTTAAAGTGGACAAAGTGATAAGTTCTGACATATGTGTACAACCGTGAAACCCTCCTTACAATCAAGATAGTGATCATTTATCACTCTCAAAAGGTTCCTCATGCTCCTTTGTCATGCCCCCTCCTGCCCCTCCCCAGCCCCTTTCTCCAGGCACTGATCTGCTTTCTGTCAGTATACATTGGTTTGTATTTCCTTGAATTTTATAAAGAATGAATCATAGGGGCCAGCACAGTGGCCTAGTGGGTAAGTTTGGCAGGCTCCAACTCTGCTGGGGTTTGGTTCCGGTGAGTGGACCTACACTGCGCTGGTCGGTGGCTGCCGGCCACCTACA